CTCAGGACAAAGGGAACTACACACAAAAGGAGCGAGGAATTACCACAATGGGCTCAACCCCCCCATTCTTTAAATGCACGTCGAACCCGGATCGCGCACTCCGAACCAGCCAGCCGCACGGCGGAGGCGGCCAATACGTCAAGCGATCCCGCTGGAAGCGGTCGTCCAGCTCGTCCAGCCACCCGGCACGCGCGCCTGGCGAGCGGCAAGCGGGAGGCTTGGCCATGCCAAGAGTTGAGGACTATGACGAATTCAGACCCCGGCCTTTGATTCCTTGTTAAAAAGAACAAAACTGTCTTTTTCATAAAAAGAAAGAGAACAAACACCACATTCGAGATGTTTGAGGAGGGCGCTCATGTTGAGCGGCACCAAAATGTAGCATTCACGATGTGGGAGTCAGTCCAGGGTAGCCTTTGTAATTCTGCACTGCGGTGTGTTCTCTGTTCGCTCCCCGTGGGCGTGGTGCGCAGACTGAATGGCTGCTGATGGTCTGATAGAAATGATGAGGCGGCCGCAGTTCACCGACAAGCCTAAACCTGGGCATTGGTTCGTGCTGAACATGGCAACAGGGCGCCTGGGAAGCTGTCGCAATAAGGCACCTCAGTAGTCAATCACTCTAAATTTGCAAAGTGCGCTGGGTGTCCTGAAATAAAATTAGTTGTAGAAGCGAAGAGAATCACGAACAAAAAACGAAGGAGGGAAATGGAGGGGAATAGCAAGAGCAGAAAAGAAACCGTGGCCTTGGCTCACTTGCCAGCGCCAGCAGCAGACACGCATATGCGCAACAAATGGCACACCGCCATGGTCGTGCATGTGCAAGCCTATTATCAAATGGTACTTGTATGCCAAACGAGACAGGACACCACACGCTGAGGAGGAGGCGTAGGGCTTTACATCCAGCACTGGGGTGCCGTCCAAGAGGTCCAGGCCATGCACAAAGACTGCGGGCCAATTGCAATCCACTTCCACACGAATTGGTCGAAAGAGTTCCCGGCTGAAGCGGGAACAAGCTTACGTGGGCGAGTCACATTAATTTGTTTGGTGGGGTCTTCCAACGACGCACAACCCCAGCCTTGCCTCGCAGGTTTGCTGCATCCACTCGCACCAAGCCTTTTGGTGAAAACGTGCTCTAGTCATCCAGCGCCACCAAGCAATGCTTCCTAAGGCGACCGCGGCAGGCAGACATGCCAATGTGGTTCCTTGGCTTGAGGCGCTGGGAGAGCCAAAGCCCAGCAAAACTTGCATCGCTTCAATCTAGCAACCGCTTTCCGAATTCTCTTATTTGCGGCAAATCGAGCCAGGCCCCTCGTGGACTCCTGCCATTTCCCCAGTCGCATCTGCGGAGGCCATCTGCCATGCTTCGGTTCATTTTCTTCAAGCCATGCGTCGGTCTGTGAGGAGCTCGTGTGGCAAAAAGACCTCGCTTCTGGCGGGGCCCTGGCACCACACATAGGATAGCAGTTGCAGGAGGCAACGCGGGGCTGGGAAAAGGCTTCGCGGGCGTCTTGGCAATTGATGAGAACCACACAAAGAAGGGAATAGCAAGCAAAAATACAGTAAACGTTTTCCAAGCATCGCTCTTTGACATGCATCTCATTTTCCTGAAACTGCCCATGGAGAGCAAGGAAATCCACCAGTCACAGATGGTCTTCTTTAGCTCACTATTGGATTGGACTACAAGACTACACACAACCTACTCAGCAAGCACTGGTCAAAACAGCCACGTCAACGGGCAAACTCTGAGTGGCCATCATCTCCCTCCGGAAAGTTCGCAAGGGCGGAGCACATGGCTGGCCGCTTTGCGCCTCGCAGTACCCCCCGTGCCTCGCGGAGGCGTGACTTTGGCAGACCAGCCTGGCGCAGCATCAATAACGACCAACCACTAACAACCACAGCCACAGCCACAACCACAACAACGGCAACCAACCAACCAACCAACCAGACAGACAGACAGACAGACAAACAGGCAGACAAACAGACAGACAGACAAACAAACAAACAACAGCAGCAGGAACACAGGCAGCTCAAGTTCCACATAGTCGACATCGCATCACCCCGATCCCTTTATGTGCGGGCTTTCATGCAAGCAGCACATGCGTGATCACCACAAGCGTCCAGTCAGCACCGTCCACTTTAGTATCCGCTTGACATGTGGCATGTACTAACTAGCAATGCCCCCCTCACTGTCAACAGCCGGCCTTGGTTCATGTGCAGGTGACTAATGACCTCGCACGGCAAGGCACATACCCAGTATCTTCTCATTTTCCAAAACGTTCCTCAACCCAAAAAGGAAAGAAAGCACCATTGAAGGAAAAACATGTGTTTAGGAAAAAGACATCAACAACTATGTCCAGCATCTTGGGTACCTCAAAGGTCGAAATGCCTTGAAATCCCAATGGTTCAAAGGCGACTCAAAACTTTTCCGACTTACCTTGACTGACACGCTCCTGTTGCATGGAGGCTAATTGGACGCCCTGGGCGCTTGACCCAAAGGAGCTCAAAGCCATCAAGGTCTTGCAAGGCAAGGCGCATTTTGTCCTGCCAAAGGAACGCCACCTTTGGGGTTTCTTTACACGCTGAGTTTGGGAGATTTGGAGGTAGCACTGCCTTCCTGAAAAAAACGTCCCGAACCGTCGGATGCCTCTGGAAGGTAAGTCCAAGCATTTCACCGTGCCACCAATTGCGAAGTCGATAGGCTTGAACGTGGGGAGGCTCCAAAAAATCAGCAGGCCCGAATGATACATGCAATCAACTTGGCAAGCCTCGCAAAGGGGGCCCCTCAAATTCATAAATTTGAACCCTCCCTTCTTCGCGCAACTCGGTCTCCTTGGCGTCCGGCTCCGCCTGAAAGTCCAGGATACCATCTGCAGCATCACCGCCAAGCACCTCAAAAGCCCGCCCAACAAATTGGGGTTCGAAGGCCCCGGACGTGGGCAGCTTCTGTTCTGACTTTGAAAGCAATGGCAATGAGACGGGAGGCATTCCCATTGCCAAACTCAAGACCCGGATGCAAAAGGGCATGTCCAAGCTGAAAGTGAATGGGCAATGCTCAACTCAGCATGGGTTCAACGCAGGATACCTCTCACATCCTCTCACGAAAAAGAGGACCATTCGGCAACTTGATAATCCACTCGTCAGCGTGATCAGCTTCGTTGTCACAGAGAACGGCAAAGAAATTCATGATGTCCACGAGATACTTTTTCTCATTCTGAGGTGGGCACTCCAGCAGTGACTGTGGGCTGTCTGGGGCAGCCAAAGCGCTCCTGGCAATCTTCAGCAAAGCGCAGAGACCTCGAAGAAGGTGACAAGTTCTCACCAGTGACAAAAGGCAGTCTGCAGCTTGCTCTTAGATCCACATCCTGATCCCTTGCAATCAGGGCTGTGGGAAATGGAATCCACTTCTGTGATACAGAAAAGGCTTCCCAAAGACTAACCCACCATAAAAGGGGGAGATTCCCTTGTATCACCGAAGTAGGAATAAACTGCTTGATCCCACAACCCTGCTTGCAATTTGTGTGTGAGCCTGTTGGCTGTGTCTCCTTGTAGGGCGAGCGAACCACAGCCAAGGTCCGCAGAGTCACTTCCGCAGGAGTGGGGAAGGCATCTGTGTGGACCTGGAGTGTAGGAAAGGCCTTAATCTCAACACCAGGCCCCGACTTGGATTACATGATGATTGCTCCGGTGTGACGGGTCCATGCTAAGATCAAACAATCAATCAGTGTCAAGAGCTCCCATTGAATCAAGGAGAATGTCCTATAAGCAATGTGCAAATACATTCTTGGATTCATGGAGGTGACTGCCTAGCGTAACTCAGCTTTCGTCCCTCAGCTGATCTTCAGCAGAGGCACCTGAGGAGGTCTCTTTGCTCTCTTTGGCAAAGAGGCCGCTGCGCCTTCCACAGGACACCAAAGGTTGGGGGATCTGCTTCACTTCCTGGAAGCATTCACTCAAATATTGACAACGCTGGCTTTTGGGTGAAGGCAAGGCAGTCTCCGAGATTCCAGAGGCTTTGTTGTCGCAGGAACAGCCATGCCTGAACTGGCGCTCGCTGCGCAGCTGACCGCACGGCCTTGCCGACCATCGCAGTCATCCAATCTACTGCAGGCTTACGCCAGCTGTGGCAGCTTCTTTTCCACGCAGCGCGTTCTGCCGTTGGCTCCTGCTTGTGTGCTGTGAAAAATGGCCAGCCTGGATATCCACAACTGCGGATCAGGACCCATTCCTCTCTCCAAACAACCCACACGAAAGCAGTGCAAATACCAACATATCCAGGCAGAAGTGGCCATCAGCTGAAAAAAGAAGGCCGGCTCAAGCGTCTCAGTCGTCTGACTCCGTGAATTGAACACCATTCAATCCTTGGAACTTTGGGACAAAGCAAAGCGCCTTTCGCCTGGATAATTTCACCCAAGCTGTTGGAAAGTAGTATGTTGAATACGTGTACGGGCGAGCATGGTTTTGGCCCCATGACAAAGGCAGCTCCAATCCGTGCATCTATCCAGTCCCCCGATTTGGGGGCCGAGGCCGGGGGGCTGGTGCCTACCACGCCGCCCTTGCCCTTCTTCTTGAACTGCGGCAGGTCCCCTTTCCGGGTCCACGAGGTGCCATCGGAGAAGACCAGGTTGGTGCCATCAAACTTGGCCACCTGCTCCGGCACAAGATTCTGCGAGCGATGAAATTGCTGCGCTTCTGGACATGCTGGATCTCAACGGGATATGTGTCACAGGGCAAAACCTCTTGGCATGATTGTCTCTGAGAGCAGCTTCACGGAACCCAATGCTCGCGCTGAGGAGGGCGCCACGTTGCTGGGGCCACCTCTGTCGGAAAAATCGATCGTCACCTGATCGCCGGAAGACTTGCCTGGCGCGAGAAGATGCATGCCCGACGGATGCTTTGCGGAGCAGCAGGATCCAGCTCCAAGCAATGCTTGCCGGTCTTCCACCCAAAGAGCAAACTGGAGGGGCTTCTCAAGGTGGCCATGAGTCTCAAGGTGGCCATGAGACCTTCAACAATGCGTGTGGCCGATCAACATGACAATCTGTTTGATGAACATAGTCTGTTGGTATCCTCCAGTAGCAGACAATGACAATCTGTTCTTAGGCATTTTTCCCAAGCCCGCGGTGTCCTGGCAGGACAAACTTCACTTGCTGCTTGCCCTTGCAAGATCTCCCCCTGTCTGGGTCCTGCTGAAAAGCTTCTGCATCAAGCATAGGTGCTCCCACAAACCAGCATGGTTCGTATGCACGCTTGCAATGCAATGCAGCATGATGCAGGCGCAAAACCGATCCATGCCGACGCAGCACTTATCCCTTCGCAGATTTCGCAGCTGCACAATGTCTATCCTTCATGTTCACTTGAACCTCTCCGTTGTTCAGCGTGAGGATCCTCCTCTTGCATCCCGGATAATCTGGGTCCTGAGGACACCAAATGATCCACGGCGCGCCAAATGCTAAGCATCGCAGGACTCTGCACAATGCTCGACCCTCTGCTCAAGCCAACACCTTGTGCTAAGGCACATCGTACTCGCCCGCAAGTGGTGCAGCGGAAGCCACATCTGGCTTGCCTTGCAACAATTTGAGGGCTACGGGGGAGATGATTGATGATTCATGCTGCGAGCCAAAACTAGTCCCTTTACATCTTCCTTGCTCAACTAATACTTCCGATGCTCGCTCCTGATGTCTGAGTAATTTGCTGGTGCCAACACTGCCCCTGTGGCCTCAAAACTATTTCCCTGCCGCAGCAAGTTCAGTGTCCTCTCGGCATCTGTCAGCTGAAGGGCTCAATGCTGGCGCAACGGCAAGCAGCGAGAGAACTTCTCGTCGGCCAATGCCTCCGCAACACTTTCAGAGCCAGGGCCAGCATCACCCCGCTTGTGACTCACTCATTCTCACGATGCTTTGAGACATGTTCCGAGTCATTTCGTGCAAACAGGCCTGGGGAAGCAGAACTTCTGCCAACTTGCAGGAAGGCGCTTGCAGCAAGCCTGAGATTGCATCCATCGACGCGGAATTTGACTTCGGGAGAGCTTTGGGCTTGCACCAAGGAGCCCAGCCAGCAAAGCAGCTCCCAAGGCTCCTGACTGGAGCTCTGGATTTGTTGCGACATGTTGACCCCGGATTAAGAAACCCCTGTTTACTAATATGGGGGATGAATAAACCCATATGGGGTGTGAAGTGAACCAATGTGGGGCAAACCCAAAAGTGATTAACAATGTTTACTAATATGGGGGTGTTCCCCTCCAAAAGTGATAAATCCCCCCTAAAACCAGGGACACCCCCATAATAATAAACAGGGGTCTATTAATCCGGGGTCAACATTACAAAGCAGCATGTGGGCCCCTGATGGTTGGCCAAACCAAGCAGCAATATGCTAACCCTTCCTGGCAGCAGCCGACTGCTCGCCCGCAATCGCGCCATGGCTGGAACAATGTATATCAAATAGTTCTACCGAAACGACCAACCAATTCACACCCATGTCTGCGATCCATCCCCTGGCTACGCATGTCACTGGACATGACATAAAGCTAAAATAGGCACACTTGTGTGCGCTCACAATCACACCAGCGATGTCTAGAAGCTGTGAGGCAGCGCGTGTGCAGCTCTCAACTTGCCTTAAAAGCCACTCAAGTGCTTGAAAATGCACGATCACAGAATGCTGCCGGCTTCGTGTTTGATTCTTGTGTAGAGATTCCGGTACTGTCCGAGGGCGCAGCATTCCTGGCAACGGCTCTTTGTGCGCGCTCGCAGACGGCAGCTCAGCTTTGAATGCCACGCTGTCCGGGAAGCTGCTTCTGAATCTTCTTGGCACCTAAAGCAAACTTCTTCTTGCCAGTGGGCTCTGGCAGATCGTGCTGGAAGAGGGTATCCTAAGTGTGGTCCAATAGCCCCTTAAACTCAGATGACCGGAAGTCACGTTCACCGCCCGCGCAAACATGCACCACCAGCAACCTGGTTGATACTTGTAAATCACAACTATTTCAACTTAAACAAAAGTAGTGGAACAATGCCCCACTGCGTTCTGACCACAGCTGCCATGGCCACAAGTGCCCCCTGTAGCGAGGCGCGTGGTGGCACTGCCGGCCCAGCGCCTCCATCAGCACCGCCAGCGCCTGCCGCAGCGCCCGTGGCGCTTCCGGTGGCTTGAGCCCCGTGTCCGGAAGCTCCTCCAGCAGCAGCGCGGCAGCCTCCACCGTGCTGATTCGGCCCTCCTAGAAGAAAAAGGCCGGAAAGGTGTATCTCTGTGAAGTGCTTGGACCCCCCCATTCCGCAAAGCTGTCTTGTAGTCTTGTACAGTCGTACAGGCAGTGTAGCTCTGCTGAACAGAGTTGCTGGATGATGCAACTGGCTCCAGCCTGGGTGCAAAAGGGCATTTACCCTTGTTGAATGTGTTTTGAGTGGATCCTACCCGGCTACTACATCGAGGGAAAATGATGGGTGCGCAGCGAATCCATGACCAAGGGTCATACCCCTAGGATTTTCTCCAATCTCATTGCTCACCCGCTCAGTGTGGGACCTCTGTGCCCCTGCGTCCTGGGACTGCCGACGCCAGTGGAACTGGGATTGGCCTGGCACCGAGAAAACGGCCGACCGGAGCCAGAAGTCATCGAGACAAAATGAGAGTCAACATGGTCAACGGCAGAGCATGTGGCAGCATTCTACATTGCGAGCTGCCTGCTTGAGGAACCAAACAAAAACTGCCTGCCTGTCTTGCATGGAGCATTGGAGGGTTGCTGGCACTGTGACAGAAACTCTCCCAACTGTGCCTGCTGGCTGCACCACGACGTGAAGCAAATGCTCGAAATGCTTGTGCATCCTTTGCGCTTGATTCCAGGTGCCGTCAATCAGAACCGCAACCGGGGCGACATCAGAGCCGGTCTTTGCCAGTGCAGCTGAGACTGGCACAGCATCATCAGAGGGGTACACCACAAAAGCGTGGCCACCACTGTTCTGGATGATCTCTTCCAAGCGTCTATCATCCTCGGCAACGCCATGGATGAGGATGTCAGTCACATCCGGAAGAAGAAGCTTCAACAGCTTGCCGGTGTTGGAAGCCCGCCGACGCTCTTTGTGATGCATCCAAACCACGAATCGCAGGGGTGCGCTTGTGCCAGCTCCCACAGAGTCACTGCGTAACGTTTCCAGAGAGGGGCAAACACAGTACTTCAGCTGCATCATGCACTTCTCGCATTTGCCTTCCTTGGATGCAGGGACTGCCGTGAGTCTTTCAACTATCAATAAGCACAGCAGAACGCTTGGAGCCAAGCTAGTCCAAGCAGGCCGACCCATGGCTGATTAAGATGGCAGAATGCACAGCAATGTGGCAGCTTGGCTTTACACAAACACCACTCTCCGCAAATTGAGTGGTTTGCCCATTCAAATCCTAGCCATTGCACAAATGGGTGTGTCCTTTTTGGGGTTGCTACTGTACCCCTCCTTTTGGGGGTTTGAAGGGAAACCAGCAGCAACAAAAAACAACACCCAAATTTCGGGGATTCCCATGGCACCCTGCAAAAAACAGACACCTCGCTCCGTCTGCAGAGATGTCTGCCGAGTCCAAAGCAAGGCGCGGCCCGCATCTCCTCCTCCACCTTCCGTGCCCGGAGCTCCGCCATCGCCGCGTGGCGCTGCTGGGGCGGCAGCTCCAGCAGCTGCTGCAGCGTGGCGTTCCGGCGCTGGGCCGCGCTCTGGGCCAGGTACCGCACCAAGCCCGTGGCCTCCTGGGGAAGCGAAACGGATGCGGAGGGGAAAACACCCGAAAAAGGCACGGGGAAAGGAAAGGAGCAAGAAGGTCAAAGCGAAAATGGGAAAAAATGAGAGATGGCACAGCGGGGCCTTGCGGCAATTGGGTGGGACTGCAGCGCAGGGGAATTCGGGCAAGTCCCGGCACGCATGCCTCAGATTTTGACGTTCGTTCAGTGCTGTGAAGCCTAAACCTTCTTGCGTGGCCTCGGGATTCACTCTGCAACAAATGGACGGGTGGGTCGTTATGCTCCGAAGGCTTCCAATCATGGCTCTTCATGTTTGAAGGCTCTACAACCATTCCAATCAGGCGCGAGAATGTCAAAACTTTCTGGAACTCCTTTTGGCAAATGTTGAAAGGAAACCAAACAGAAAACCAAAAGAGAATCTTGTTGAGGTGTGCCCTTGCTGTTTGACCCCCTATAAAGAACCGACCTTCCGCCAATTCCTCCAGGCACTCGGGGGGCTGTACCTCCGGCTGCCGCCGCTGCTTTCGCCAGCGAACGGGCTCCATGGCATCGCGAGTCGCGAGATTTGCTCGGATCGGAGGGAGTCTCGGGTCCACTTCGGACCCCACGTTCGATCTGTTCAAAAGTTGTTGACTCCAGGGTACAAAATTTTAGACCAAACGTTCAATCCAAAGTTGAGATGGCCCAACCTGCAAAGGTTGAAAGAGTGAGAGCGACGACCCCTCAGTTCACGCGGCATCTGTAGCCAGGTAGCTAGATTGGATCCACTCATTGTCTCTAATCTGCTGGTTCGGTCAGGCGTGTCGCAATATGTTATGCAAGGGAAAGTTGTCCTGGATAGCTGCTGTCGCTGTGTGCAAGTCATGCTGAAAAGCTCAAGCTTCATTTGTTGGTACGCGCATTTGCAAATACAAAGTTTGATCCCTCTCTTGGCACATGAGAATACCGGCAGACATATTGGAAACAAAATGCAAAATGCCGATCACTGAACGGCTCGATGTTGCAAGCACCCTTCAAGCCTTTGAACAATCACACCAAGTCTTCAAGCCCCTTGCACGACATGCAGGAAAATATTCTACAGACAGGTCAGTTGTTTAGACGTAGCCAATTCACTGTCCCGCCTACCAGCGCGCTGGCAAAGCCAAGCAATGCCGGTGACCTGGGAAGCTGAATTGTATTGACTCACAAGTGATCTATCAAAACACAAACACACCAATGATCTATCCAAACACTGTCCAAACACTCACAAATGATCTATCAAAACAAATGTTCTGTCAAGGCATGCCTTGTTGTCCATGGACACCTTCTGCACACACCAAGCAAGTCGGGCCCCGATGCCTTGGCGCGGGCCGGCGACCAATCGAAGTGGTCCTGCCTTGGCCAGGCTGACTGCACACCGCACAGCAGGGATGTTCCAAAGTGACACAAGACGCCCAAGCAGTTTTTCCAGGGCTTTGTCCATGGGCCAAAGATGCCAAGGGAAAAGAAAAGCCGACGGTCCCATCTCTGCGCCAAGCGGCTTGCCAATCCAAACACCTCGGCAGCTGTGCTGTCTAACACTGCCATTGATTGGTCTGTGCTCCGAATGCGTGTGCAAAAAGGAGCTACGAAGCAGCAACCTTTGTCACCTGTGTCGCTGTTTCCTTGTCTGATTCTGTGTCACTGGGATGATATGTACAGCCGGTGCTTTCCATGGTGCCTCTCTGGCACCGGGACATGTGGCTGTGGGTCAAAAATGCGTACCCAAAATGGCTTGCCCTGATAAATGGACACATGGACAGAAAAACCTGCGGTCCAAGTCCTGGTGGGTTTATTTTGACCCATGTCCCATGTCCGTTCAAACCTTCTTCTCGGGTTTTGGCTCCTCCTTGCCGATGATCGCGCTGACGCCCTGCGCCAAAGCCGTGTCGAAGCTCTCGAAGACGGCCGCCAGTTGCTCCGCAGCGGACTCCACGAAGCTGGCCTCGTATCGGGGATGCCTGAAAAAAAAAAAACACCAGGCCCTGGGCGCCCGAAGAAAAAAACAAAAGGACTTGGGCTGTTTAGGCTGTTTAGGCTGTTTAGGCGGTTCCCTCAGATCCCCCGCCAAAAGTTTGGCTAAAACGCTAAGGGGATGGCTGGGAGCCACCAAGCTTTGGCTGTTTTGGCGAGAGTGATTCAAGAGCCATGCTTCCAGCCCTGCCTCCGAGTCTTCCGCACGAATCACCAGGTTGCGATCCCGCCCCTCCAACTCCTGCTGCAACCCCACGGCCGAGAAGATGGTGATCAGGTCCAGCATGGCGAGGGAGAGTGGGAGAGTCGTTCAGGGACACTCAGGCTGTGAACACGGCTTGAGCCAGCAGCAAAAAGGAATGTCAACGAAAAACATATGCAACATGTAAACAACTCCTGCCTAACAAGTTGCTTGCGGTTGAGGACAAGAGCATTGCTCCATGAAGTGCAGCTTCCAACTCGGCTACCCTGAGGCTGGAAACAAAAATGAGAGTCTCCGGGCGCAACTGGGCTGCTGGCTGAAACCGCTCCGGCTCTCGGAGGCATGGGAACCGCCATGAGCGGAATCAGTCGCAAGCCGTTCGAATGCCCACACTTGCTCTTCCATCCATGTCGCCGATGTGAAGGGTGCCTGAAAATAGATGACTGCTCCTTGAGTCACCCATCTCTGGGGTCAACTCTTTGTGAAGTCTGCGCAACACTTGCGATTGCTTGCTTGTTTCAGCCACCTGCTTGAAAGCCAATGGCGCTTACAGCATCGCAATAGCAGCAGATACATATCACGCATGGTTAGCAAAGTGCAGTGCAATGATTGCCAATCTGCAAAAGCTGCCAGCAAGTATATACTGCTCTGCATGCAAATCAGCTCATGCTGCATGTCGATTTTCCCCGTCTGCGCGCGCGCAGCTGGTGGCTTCTGCATGCCCTAATCTGCAGAAAATCCACATTCCCCACAGAAAACACTTGCACACAAACTGTCCATGCATGTACATATATTTTTTCAAGATACAAACCCACAGAGTCCCCCAGTGGTCACTGAGACCAATGGCCCCTAATTTACAAAGGCACCCCTGGCCTGGCAGGCACGCCCCAAGCCGCCCTCACCGCGCTAAACGCGCCTTGCAGCCGACGCGGCCTCAGATCCAAGGGGCCTTCGATCAACTTGGCCCGCGCGCGTGCGTGGCGCGGAAGCCGTCTCCGCATTTCATGGACTGCCGGGGAAAAAAAAGAAGGAAAAACCGCCGTCTCAACTCTGAATTCCATCTTCCTTCAGGTCCTTCAGGTCCTTCAGGCAGAATGGGTGCTAGGTCCCTGCTTTCGAACCCGCGTGTCCGGCGCGCTCTGGGCGAAGGCCCCCGAGGCTCAAGCTCTCTGGGGAGTCCGAGGCGCCTCAAAGGCTCACGGCCGCCCGACTGACACAGTATCCAATGAAAAATGGACAGCCTTAAAGCAATGCTTCCCAAAGCCAAAAAGCAGCCTCTAGACATTGGCACCTTTTCTGAAATCCAATAGCCAGCCTGTCACGCGCTTTTGTGATGCCATGGCAGTAGACTTGCAGTTTTTACATCAAATGGTTGGCCCACATTCCCCCCGCCTGCGCAGAGTCAGGACGCTTCTGGCCGCAGTTCGGGCAGAATAGTCCCGCGGTTAGAGCCTGGGTGCCGCGCGCAGGAGCAAGGACTCTTGGGTTCGCAGAAACTTGCCAATCGCATCACGTGCCAGTAGGTCAACTACTGAGGAATTGGAAGAACCCATCGAGACACATTGCAGAGCTGATCGCAGGCTGAAGCAGTGGCGTGATTGAAACTTGCACAAGAAAGAGACGACGCCAGGAGGGTTCGCAAAATGGTGGGTGAGGCAATGTCGTTGTTCAAGCAAACAGATTCAACCTGGAAGGTCTTGTTGGGCAGCCGCTCGGAGGGAATGTTGCTGATAGTAAGTTGGGAAGTGGATAAGTTGGCATTCGGTAGCTGGCGCTGGCTCAGAGCATTCGTGCTTCATAGTGTTCCCATTGGCCCCAAATTCCCTCCGAATTGATGTTCAGTTTCTTCCAAGTTATGGGCAAAGGGCGGCCGAGAAGCCGTGTGACAGTTGCGGCAGCTTGCCTCTTCCTTTGCCTGGGACATAGGAAGGAATTGCTCGTATGCCATGGACACCCTGAACAGAGATGGTCTTGGCTCCGCTCATAGGGATCCTTTTGATGGTAGACAGGACCCGAAAGAGCTAGAAGGCCGCCCAACCCCTCGCTGCCAATCAAGTCTGCTACAAGTTCATCCAACCCATCACTCAACCGCCTCAAACCACACAAAGCGAGAAACCGTGCGGGATGTTTGCCCCTGGTTACTGTTTGCAATGCCACGTTCGTGCGCTGCGTGACTTTTCTCGGACCCCCCCTCCAAGTATTGCTGTCACAACGTCCAATCTTGTCCAGCATTGTAGCCTAACTTTGCCCCTACTGTTTCAGATCCGCTTGGGCAAACGGATCTGCAAAGTGTGTGGCGCTCGGATGTTTTGATCGCCGTGATCAAAGCCCTTGCCGGCCATGGCTGGGATCTGCTCAGGGTGACATTGTGGCCCAATAATTGTATCACACTTGAGCTATATCCAATAGCCCCCTTGCATTGAGGGTTGCATTGGCTCGTGGCAGCTTTGAGCTACAGAAAAACATGAGACGCCCGTGTCAGTTGCGGCCTAATCTGCTTGCGTGATCAATCATCACATTGCATAGATACTTCCCTGCAAAACTTCGAGTGACTTAGCAGATCCCGCCTGCGCACGAGAAGCCTGCCAAGACCAATGCACCGACACATTCACACAGACTGTTGGCCGGACGAAGTATTCGAACACCTGCCTTCAACTGGAGTTCTTGCTTGCCTCTGGTGTTTGTTGTGTTTCAGCCTCGCAGTTCACTTGCCTCAGCAAACACGAATGGTCGCTTCCAGCTAGTCTTCTAGTTGCTGCTTTGGCAGGTGGCCAGTTTCTTCGGTTGCAATTGATTCGTGCTTCTGGTTTGGGATTGGACCATGAGTTGCGCTGCCAAATGGACGCAGCGCTTGTAAGTTGTAAGTACTTGGAAAGAGGTACGTGATGAATGGAATTCAACACCCACTCAACTTCACCAAAGGCACCTGACCCCAACGGCCTACATCCATCCGAATCGGTGCATCGCTCCTGGGAACTGCGGGCCCTTGGCGGAGGCGTGAAGGCCTGCGCGTGCGGCGTGTCGCCTTCCGAGTTCTACTCTGGATCTCTGCTTCGGTGGCACTGCTCTAGGGCAGGTATGCTCGTACAGCTGAGGCGAGCGCCGGCATTTGCGGCTTGCGGCTCTCGGGTGTCTCAGACATGCCTTGAACCTCAGAGAATCTTGCACGAGGCAAGCCAGTTCTCCAGTTCTCGCCCGTCTTCGACGTGAGCACTAAAGGGCTGTACCCAAAACCATGTACGCGGCCGCCCCTACTGTCCCTTCATCTACCCCTTTTGATTGTGGTTGTGGAAATGGAATCATTCCCACAAAAGGTGGAGCTTTTCCAGAAAGGCCATGGGCCGTGCACAAGCACAACCTGGGGTCCACAAGACAAGATCGCCTCCATCTTGCCACCCAGCCACCCAAGCACATGCTAATGTTGACCCGATATTCATCAACCCCAGTTTAGTCGTAGGGGGGTGGGGGCCCCTCCAAAAGTGGTCTGATTCCCCACTGAACCAAGGTCAACCTCACCGCACTGGGCACATGCCTTCTGAGCTTTGCGCCGAGCGCAAGGGAGTCAGCGGCATCCGTGGCGCCTCAGCCAAGCGGTCACTGCGAGTCGGTCTTCCTGAAAGAAGCCCCAGCCGCGGCGCCTTTCTGATGGGAGTGGAAATAACAAGACATGAGGTGGCAAAGCAAACTCTTTGTCTTCAGAGTTACTTTTCTGGGGTGCTCGCTCTTTTTAGCTTCCCGTTTTGCAGGGTTTTGCGCTTTCTGCACTTTCAACCTTGAAATCGTGACCTTGTAGCAGAAGTGCAGCACGCGAAGTACACTTTGGCTCCAGCTCCAACATTGCAACTTTTCAGTACAATTGTAGCACGCAAAGGCAGCTCCAGCTTGAAAGTTGCAGCTCCAGCTCGAAAGTCTCAACTGTTCAGCACAAATTTATGCGCGAAGAACGCCTTTGCAGCAAAAGGCGATTTTTGTGCAAATAATTCTCGTGTTTGTCGTCGTTGTGTTCTCGTTTTTGGTCAGATACCATGTTTGGCCTGTTTGCTGCCCAACAAGCCGTGTTTTTCCAAGCTGAGAAATGATCGGTATCGTTTGTTGCACCTCCTTATCGTTTTGCACTGAATGAGACGTGCCAGTTTTGGACACGAGGGGTCTCCGAATACTGAATTTCAATCAACGGGTCTTTTTACAAGCTAACATTTACATGTGATTGCAGAATTCGAGTGGATACATACGGAACTCGATGTCCAAGGTCAGTCTGATACTGCAGGGCCACATTCGCTGTCAGGGAGCAGACAATCAGTTTGCAGTGGCAGGTACGAGCAAGAACCTCTCCGTTGCGAGGGCACAAAAAGCAACATGTTTGCGGGCAACACCCAGGCCGGTTTCAGTCGATCAAGGCAGAGCCCTCCTGTCTGACAAGACATAAGAATTTGCAGAAAAGGATGTCTCTAATCTTGCAAAGCCACTAACCTGTTACAGCCACTTTGCCGCTGTTGCCAAGAGGGTGTTGGTTTCTACCGCGTAGCATCTCAAGTGCTTCAGCCCGCCTGCGCTGTCCAGGACCACTCAAAGAGAACCTGGGCTCAGACAGCAGTGGGGCCAACCAACTAGGGCAAACTCCGGGGCACGAAGACATTCATCGATCACAGCGGCGTTCATCCGCACTTCGCACTCTCCGAGCCAAGCGCCGTGTCGGCAGTCGCCAGCAAGCTATCGGTGATGTTGCTGAAAAGCAACGTGGAGATCGGAGCCTGCAGCGAGGCTGTTTGAGAAACATGGCAGCCCTGTGGCAGCCATTTGAAGGGTGCATGAATTGCAAAAGTGACAAACCCGGCTTTCAGTCCAACGAGCTGACCCTCTGGGCTCTTCAATCAAGCCAGGCTTGCAGCAGGGCCCTCCAGACGCGGTGGGTGGATGCCGGGGGGCGTCGAGCACCTTGTGGCTGAGACTTGAAACCCTCCTTTGTAATGGTTTCCACTTAGATCACCGTAAACAAACATAATACGATGTTACTGGAGTCACTGGGATCTGTGATCTTGGCACATTCGCAACTCACCTCTGGAAGGCTTGGGCAGGCTTCGGGCAACTTCTTACCTGCGACTACCCATCCCGAGCTCCCAACGGGAAGGGGAAGATCTCCACCTTCTCTGAGTCCGCCACAGCAATGGCTTGCCTGAAAACAACTCACCCCAGTTCTCTCCACTTTTCCTATCTTGCTCTACTGCTAGCTTGGAGGTGATGACTTTCATGATTTTAAAGTGCTTACGTTCATGATTTTAAAGTGCAGCAATGGCAGGCATTCGTAGGATGCAGTGACGTAGACATTAACAGAATGAGCACAACAGTTCGTGGTTGAACTTCCATCTTCTCTTTTGCTAACACAACTAGTACCCCCAAGCAGCACAACCACAAGTGAGCAAAGCTAATCTAATCCAAGTTTCAGCGTGATAAACACTGCAAAGCAAACAGCGCATACGCCAAACACGCGAAACAGGCCAAACGCACCAAACAAGAAACAGCAACACACCAAGGCAAGCAACAAAAAAAAAAAATACATGACAGGCAAACATCAGGAAACATTTGGATATATACTTCTGCCAGGACGCCCTTCTAGCGTCCTTTTGAAGAGAAACCACGGAAAACCCGATGTTTCAGGTTTCAGGTTTGTTTTGCAAGAAATCATAGCCCTCCCAGAGCCCTGCACGCCTACCCGGGATCTCATGGAAGCGGCGCAGCGCTCCCGCTGACGCTTGCGCTCCCTGCAGGGGTCCGTCTCACGACGGGGAATCCACACCAATTGCTGGCCTGTTTGTGGTGACCATGTGGGGTTCCACCAACAAGTCTGGGCCGTCAAATCCTCCGCTAAAAGTTTAACTTAATTGTAGTGGGTTAAATGGAAACCCCCACTAAACACTAACAAACTAAAAAGCTAAGGGGATCTCTGGGAGCCACCAACAAGTCGTGGGCACCCCTTGAATAAGAGACGGGTCTCTTTGGAGAAAGCCACCCAAGTGAGTTGCTGGCATGATTCCCACAATATAGATTGATGTAGATGCTCGAGGGATTCCTCAAATTTGGTTGGCAACACAGTAGCGTGATGATGATGATGATGATGATGATGATGATGATGATGATGATGATGATGATGATGATGCGCAAAATCCTGGCAGCTTAGTTTGATGAGCCCAACGAGCTGGTAAAACATACGCCCGACTGGCTGCGATCGTTTCCACAATGAACATCCTTTCCAAGACGTAAAGCGGTCAGGCCAAATATTGTTGGCCAAGAAGTTGGGCCCCTGAATTTCTTAATGGGAGATTGCTTCATCCACCGAAGAGCTAAGATATCGGCTAAGAAATCCAGGGGCTGGCTCCAGAGCGGTAAAAACCAGGCCTTCTAAAAACAAAATGGATGTTAGACATTCAGCCCAGCCGATTTCTTATACACCCTCCTGTGGATGATAAAATGGACAGCATCAAATCAATTGCCACTCGGCTCACCTCAACGACCACATCCGAACCGTGCCTGGCAGCCCTGCACTTGCCAGCCAGTAGGAGCGGTCCAAGGACTGAAGGGCACCTGCCGCGCTTGCGACCTATCCAGTATGTGTGTGTTTTCTTCCAGGTCATGTGTTGAAAGAATGTCACTGCCAAATCCTCTGCCACGATTGCACAAGAGCCGGGACCAACCAGTAGGATCAGCGGGGAAACCCGAACATCAAAACAGCTTCGCATGACTTGCACGGCATTGTTTGAACATTGCACGGTGCAGAAGCGCTCACAACAAGCACAAAAAAGCTTGAACATATTATGGACTCTTTCAGGCCGCGTCTGCCAGTGCATGTGGCGGCACCCTCACACTTCATGAGTGCTAACATGTTTGCACTTGCCTCGAGCGGTTTTGCACCAAAATGCCACGTCGTCCATGGAACAGTCAGGAATGGTTTTCGTCTTTGCCACTTGGGCCGTCGCTGCGACGGGCACGTTATCATTCCCCGCCCACCCCGCAACGCCAACCCAAACCCAACCCCTATCCAGCCTGCATGCAGACTCTTGCAAGAAATCAATGGACAGGTGCACGGAACTCCAAGAAGACGTGTCACCAAACAAAACCACCTACCTCTGCTACATTCTTCCAAATGCTGCAACAAAACTTTCAAGCAGCCCTACCACGGTGTGATCGAAAGGCGCACCAAACTCGAACCAAGCACCTTGTCTGGAACTCCCTCCCATGCCCCTCATCAGCTTCAATGTGCGCCTCCCGCACCATGGCAATGGTAGGCAGCCTCCTTGCCATAGGCACATCGAAGGCGAGCTCCTGCAGGAACCCCATCACCAGTTTCGTTGAAGGACACGTGCATGCAGGTCACATCTGTTGTTCTCATTTTCCGAGTGGGTGTTGTTGACTTCAGCTAGCTAGCTCCCCTCCCGACAAGTGGACCATCATAGCAGCGTCCAGTGGCTCCTTGCCAGACAAGTCCACACCGATCAGATACGTGCCTGGGCTGCGTGCGCGTGCAAATGAATGCGGATAGTGTGTGTGTGTATATATGTATATATTATACACATGTATATTATGTTGTGTTATGTGATGTGATGTGATGAGATGTGATGTTCTGGTATGTTGTGTATGTGTAATGTGTATGTGTGATTCTATGTATATACTGTATATATGTATATACACACACACACATTATGTGTGTCACACATTGTATTGTCTGCAATGTTCAAATTGATTGTTATATTGTAGTGTGCATCATTTCGCAGTTGCTTCACGCGTTGGTCTCAAGTTCTTCGTTTTTCATCATGCCACGCTGCAGGGCAGAGTGTCCGCAAAGCAAATGTCGAAAATGGGCGCCTCATGGCCCCGAAGCGTCGCCACCTTACTCACGATCTCCTCCCCAGTGTGAGTGGTGTAGACCGAGGACCTGCATGTAGGCTCCTCGTGCCGGAGACCCTACAACGTTCCCTCAGGTCGGGTAGGGTTGGCTTGAAGGCTGAGAGTCTAGCTGTGGTGTAGTCCAGCTTGCCCATCTTAAACCTAGCTTCCGCTTCACTTGAGCAGTATGTCTTTTGTAGGCTCAGGGCTTATAAACCGCTGTGCAGCCTACGCTGGGGGCTTCACCGGGCCAGAATTTATAGTCGCGACAAGACAGTGGCTTCACGAAGTGGCTTCGCGGACATGCTTTTAGACAACCAATGACTTCTAGCTGGCCTTTGCGAAGTGGCTTCGCCTGTGTCAAACCACGGGGCCTTCACGAGAGACTTCGCGGTCCTTCGCTGCACACAATGCCTTCGCAGACCTTTTGAGAGTTCCCCCCCGAGGCTAAAATCCTTCAACTCCATTTGAAAGAACAACGCTGCTCACTTGGAAAGAGTGGCATGACTTCCATATCGGTCTGCCCCCTCCGAGACTGCCCCCCACCCCCCCCATCCTTGAAGCGGAAGGTGTGGATGCAGCCGTCGTCGGTGCCCACTGCGAGCCACAGCGGGTGGGCGCCGGAGACGTCCACCGCCGAGAACTTCGCGCAGGTGAGCCGAGCCTTGCGCCCGGACAGCGATCTCCTGAGCGGCGGAGCACAAAAGCCGGTGGCTTCAGGAGGCGCGCTGTGCACTGCTCGTTTGGGCGACCATTTCACATCTACTTTCCAGTAGAATCCCCAGAGCCCAGTGGCCATGGGAAAAGTCGGCGTATTTCTTGGCAGCACATCTAGTCCCACTTTGGGCATGAATAGAGAGAACACTCGTTGGCATCCGAACGATTCCCACGTCCTTTGCAGTCAAACATGCTGCCAACAAATCCAAATTCCAGGATGTAGAAGTTAATTAACGAAGGAAATGGAAAGATGAAGTCATATAAAGATAGGAAATGATAAGCATGAAATCTTGGGCAACAAACATGAGAAAAAATATAATTGACCAGGAGATCTTCATCAAATACAAATAACCAAACAAAATGATGGATGAAATGATGTCACCGAACCCTCTCTCACCGGTTAACCCGGGAAATAGAGAGGGATAGGGAAGGAATAACCATAAGATGAGATAAGGCATGAAGACACCAACAAAGCAAAGAGAAAGAAATGATGAATGAAAAAGTCAA